TTAATATTTTATTTGGACTTTTTCAGTCATAAATTGTATTCTAGTCTTTTTTAAAAATCAGCCTTTTTTTAGTCATTTCTGGGATTATCTTTTGTGTTTATATGAAGCATTAATTATTTCCAAATTTTAAAAATTTGAAGTTAGTAAACATATGTGCTTACAGATTTGTGGTAACCCCCTCTTTCCTTACTGAATTTAGACTATCCTCACCGTTATTTGTATAATCTAGAGGAGGTTTGTCGTTTTGTGTTTTTTCTTGCACTTGATAATGTCACAGCCATTTAACTTTTTAAAAAATCAGCATGTCCTCTTGTGTTGCTTGTGTTCTTATATAATTTTCTCTCAAAACTATAATTTTACTTCATACAGGTTTTTAATTAATGAACTTTATTTTTTAATGCACTTTTAGATTTACAGGAAATGGAGCTGATGGCACGAAATTCCCATAGAGACAATTCCTACCTGCAGTTTCTCTTATTCACGACTTGCGTTAGTGTGGCACATGTGTTATACTTAATGAACTTATAGTGATATGTTATTTTTAGCTAAAATTTGTAGTTTAAATTAGAGTTTGCTCTGTGTTGTACAGTTCAGTGCGGTTTGACAAATGCACGGTGTCCTGTACTGTACCATTAAGGGACATGCCGAAGTCCTCCCTGCCCTGGTATCCTTTTCATCCCTCACCCCCTTCCCTGCCCTCAAGCCTCTGGCAACCACTGTTCATCCTACTGTCAGAGGTGTGCCTTTTCCAGAAGGTCACATGGTAGGAATCATGCACTATGCAGCCTTTTCAGATTGACTTCTTCAATTTAGTATATACATTTAACTTTCCTCTGTGTGTTTTCATGGCTTGATGGCTCATTTCTTTTTATTACTGACTTTATTGATTTACAAATTTGTTTATTCATTTACCTCTTGAAGGACATCATGGTTGCTTCCAGTTCGGGGCAGTTAAGAATAAAACTACTATAAACATTCATGTACAGGTACCTCCCCCCTCCTTGTTCCATTAGTCTACTTGTCTGTTCTTTCACTAGTACCATGTTGTCCTAATTGTTATAACTTTATAGTCACATTGTATCAGTTCTCTGAGTTTATTGATCTTCAGTATTGTGTTGGCTATTCTAGGTATTTTGCCTTTCTGTATGACCTTAATCACTTGATCGGTAACCACAAAGTAACTTGCTGGAGTTTTGATTGGGGCACTTGTGCTGTTCTCATTCTCTCTGTATGCTACATGGCAGAGGCTTGACAAGAGAGGTATGTGCATGACTTGGTAAATGAGCTTGTAACGCAGTGCAGGTAGAAATCTTTGGCTTTCTGGCCACATTTATATCACCATCAATTTTAATCTTTCAACTACTTACATGTAGAAATGGAAACCATTCGAAACTTCTGTGGAATAGGGAAGACTTTCCTAAGGCTTCATTCTTTCGCCAATCCCAGATTGAAAGAGGCTGTATGATTGTGCATTCACGTCTCTGTTTTCATATATTTGAAAATTAAGCATGATTGTAAAATGTTTTTAAAACACATTTGCTTTTACTCACATACAGTGTAGTGCTATAAGAGCAGTTGAAGAAAATAAATACTCCAGTATTGAAAGGAGCAAACGTATGTGAACGAGTGCTTAACTAAAAAGAAAAAAAAAATTAGTGACAGCTTTAATGAGAGACAGTTTATATATCCTACAATTTCCATTTAAAGTATACAATTCCTTGATTTTTATCATATTCTCAGTTGCGTACAGCTGGCACACAGTTTATTTTAGAGCCCTTTTTATCACCTCAGGAAGAACCTCCATACCCTTAAGCTTCTGCCCCCCAGCCCTGAGCAGCCAGTGGTCTACTTTCTGTCTGTGTAGAATTGTCCTTTCTGAGCATTTTGTATAAATGGAATCGTATAATATGTGATCTTATTAATTATCTTTTTTTCACTCACATATGTTCAGGGTTCGCCAGTGTTGTTGCATGTATCAGTGCCTGATAACTTTTTAGGACTAAATAATATTTCCATTATATGGATACATACCGCATTTCTGTCAGTTGGTGGACACTTAGGTTGTCTGTACTGTGGCTATTATAAAAATGTGTCTGTGAACATTGGCATACAAATACCTATTGATGTTCCTGCTTTTAGTCCTTTGGGCACATACATAGGAGTGGAATTGCTGGGTCACATGATACCTCTAAGTTATTAACTGACTTTTCTTTTCTTTTCTTTTTTGGTAGAGGCAACGTCTTGATATGTTGCCCAGGCTGGTCTTGAACTCTTGGGCTCAAGCAATTCTCTCTCCTTGGCCACCCAAAGTGCTGAGATTAGAGGCCTGAGCCACCGCACCCAGCCAATCTGACTTTTTAAATTTCAACCTTCTTAGTGAGTGTGAGATGGTGTTTCACTGTGGTCTTGCTTTGCATTTCCCTGCTAATGATGCCAAGCATCTTTTCCTATGCTCATTGGCTCTTTGTGTATCTTTTCTGGAGAAATACCTATTCAGATCCTCTATCCCATGAGAGGGGACTGAGTAGGAGAAGGAAGCGTTGTCTTCTCAGCCACGCTTGGCTCCACCTTAGCCACAGCAGCGCCCACCTTGAAGCTCTGGGGAGAGGGGCCCTGGTTCCTGCCTGGAACCGGTGGGGTGGATTTTCTTTCCCCCGAGCTCAACTTGGGGAGGCATGGATCAGCATCTTGGTTCAGATACCATAGGCTTTTGCTTTTCTAACCGAGTTTCAGATTTTCTTTTTTTTTTCTTTTTTTTTTTTTGAGTTGGAGTCTCACCCTGTCGCCCAGACTGGAGTGCAGTGGCCTCTCCCGGCCACTGCAGCCTCCACCTGCTGGGCTCCGGTGATCCTTCTTCCTCAGCCTTCCAAGTAGCCAGAATTACAGGCATGTGCTACCACGCCCGACTGATTTTTTGATTTATCGTAGAGATGAGGTCTCATCAAGTTGCCCAGGCGGGTCTTGAACCCGTGGGCTCAGGCAGTCCACTCACCTCAGCCTCCCAAAGGCGCGGGATTACAGGCTGAGCCACTGAGCCCGGCTTGAGTTTTTTTAAGTAAATATTTCTTCACTTGCTTTATGCGCTTAGCACCATTTCCAGAGACTTTAAATTGCTTTGCCTTTGAAGAATATTTACCAGTCTCACCGGAGAGCAGATCTGTGGAGCTCCTCACTCTCATGCCAGCAAGGAAGATTGGGTTCTCATATGCTTTGTGCAATATTTCAAGCTCTCTTACTAACCAAGCATGCTCTGTTCTTACAGTGGGATACTTTGCATCCATTAATTTCTCAAAAGCAAAAACCATGTACCTTGTAATTGGTGGAAAGAGGAGGTTAGACCCTGCTGAGCATCTCATGTTTTTAAAATCCAACACACACTAAGTGTATGGCATCATGTGCTTCTCTCTGTAATGCTTTCGTGTTTAAACTTCAGTTTCCTTCAGAGTCCTCCCCGTGATGCAGTGCACCTATCAAGGCATCTTTTCCACTGTTCCGAAATTTTTTAACTCGTCAATTTTGATGATTTTCAGTGCTTCTGCTGCTTTTTTGTTTCACCTCTTCCACATCAGCAAAACATTTCCCTTTGAGGACTTTTTTTATGTAGGGAAACAAAAGAGTTGCTCGGTATGAGATTGGGTGTACAGTGAGGGTAGGGTACAAGGTTCATACTGTTTTTAGTCTAAAACTGCCAAACACTCAGCGTGGTTTGGTCAGGGTACTTGTAAATCCCCCTCAATCACTGAGGTTGATTGCAGCCTCTCACAGCAACGCTAGCTGGTACAATGATGCTGATGGGTTCCTAGAAAACTAACCAAGTGTGGGAAGTCTGTAGTACAAGAGGGCTGCCCTCTAAAAGATAATTCTGGGTTTTCTTTGGGTCCTCTTCTTGTAGAATGGTTGTTGTTCAGTAACTTATTGGAAAAGGGAAAAGGGTGTCAGGGCCTTAGGTCACATGATTCACAAAAGTAAATTCCAGTTGTGATACGGCCATGCAAACTGACAAAACATCGTACAAGCCTTAGAAGCAATATATGCTCCTAGAGTAATGAACCCATTCTTACATATGCAATTTAAAGAAAAAATTCCATTTGACTTATGGCTAGTAATTGAAAGTTAGTATAATCAACATTTTCTTTTTGGCTACAAGGAAGGTGGTTTGTTGAAATAGACTCTTGATAAACTGCAATGCTGTCTTTCTTTTTATGTAAGATATAATGACTTCATCGTTATAATTTAATTAAGAATATATTTCCACTTTATACTAATAAATGTATTTATTGCTATAATATATTATCTGACTCTTTAATCATCTCTCTATATAATATAACTAGCTATTTAGTTAACATTTCTTGTTCTTTGTCCAACTCAGTACCTTATCCATTTTATGGTTTTCAAAAGTGACCATTATTATACTTTGAACATTGGTGCCACATAGGCTTCTGTTGCGTTAGTCTATGTACTAATTAATTTGTCCCTTGAACAACGGGGGGGGGGGGTTAGTGTTGCCAACCCCCCACACAGTCAAAAATCCCTATATAACGTTACTTTCCCAAAACTTAACTACCAGTAGCCTGCTGTTGACTTGGAAGCCTTACTGATAACATCAACAGTCTCTTGATATGCATTTTGATATTGTATGTATTATGTACTGTATTCTTATAATAAGGTGAGCTAGAGAAGAGAAAATGTTGCCAAGGAAATCATAAGGAAGAGAAAATGTATTTCCCACTTATTAAGTGGAAGTGGATCATCATGAAGGGCTTCATCCCCCTCGTCTTCATGCTGGGGGGTGGGGGAGAGAGAAGGAGGAAGAGGATGGTTGGTCTTGCTGTCTCAAGTGGCAGATGCAAGAGAAATTCTACATGGAAGTGGGCCCTTGCAGCTCAAATGCGTGTTGTTCAAGACTCAGCTGTAACCTTAGGATCCAGGTAAAAGCTACATTGCCATGGACTTTTGTACTGCACACATTCTCACCTTGTGCTTTCCCCCCCTCCTTATAGTTCTGGACATGGCGAGACATGTGCCACTCTATCGGGCTCTGCTGGAATTGCTCCGGGCCATTGCTTCTTGTACGTCCATGGTGCCCCTACTGTTGCCTCTTTCAACAGAGAATGGGGAAGAGGAAGAAGAACAGTCAGAGTGTCAAACGTCTGTTGGTACATTATTAGCCAAAATGAAGACCTGCGTTGATACCTACACCAACCGTTTAAGGTACTATATACGTTCATTTCTCTTGACTTTGCCTCTAACAATATATATATTTTTAAACTCTCCGGGTGTTTTTGGTTTTCAGTGACATACAGCATTTGAACACACACACATAGCAAACAATATATAAATGTACAAAGAAAGAATATCCATCCAGATCCTGTGAATAAGAAACACTTATTCACAGTGTCTTCTCAGACATCTCCCTGTGTGATTGTATAGCTGTAAGTATGATGTTTTCTTAAATGCTGTCACAGTGTGCCTGTTGAACAAATGAGTGCTAGTTTCACTCAGTATTCATATCAGAAACATCTTTCAGTGTCAATAAATACATATCACTGACATTATTCTAAATATTTCTAATTCCCTATTGCATATAGATGCTATATTTTACTTAACCATTTTTTAGTGAATTATAGGTTATTTTTAGTTTATAATAACCTCATACATCTCTCTGGGCTTGTAGAAATCTCTGTAGGGTAGAATTCTAAAAGTAAAGTTTTTGAGTGTATGGATTACTTCTGTTTTATTTTTATATTTGTTAAAATTCATGCTGTAAACTTTAGAAGTTAAAAGAGTCAGTATTTGTTTAGAATTTATAATAAAGTTGAATGTTTATCCTTATGGGAAATTGAATTTTTAAGTTCCTTTTAGTTTGTTTATACCTTAGCAGTCTCAGAAGATGAGTTCTATTATCAAAAACTCTTTTTTTTTTTTTTTTTTGAGTTGGAGTCTCACTCTGTCGCCCAGACTGGAGTGCAGTGGCCGCTCCCGGCCACCGCAGCCTCGACCTGCTGGGCTCCGGTGATCCTTCCGCCTCAGCCTTCCGAGTAGCCGGAATTACAGGCATGCGCTACCACGCCCGGCTGATTTTTTGATTTATTGTAGAGATGAGGTCTCGCTGCCCAGGCGGGTCTCGAACCCGCGGACTCATGCAATCCACTCACCTCAGCCTCCCAAAGGCGCGGGATTACAGGCTGAGCCACCGAGCCCGGCTCAAAAACTCTTTTAAAGTAACCTAGAAAACCTTTTCCTTTCTCTAGCAGAATCTGTTCAGTGGTTAAAAGTTTTCCTTAAAGATTGCCTAATTCTGACTTTTAAGGCACTTATACTGCTAATGGAAGTTTACTCCTTTGTCAGTTGCCTTTGAGACAGTTAATGTTCTTTACCATCTTTGTGCTATATTTGCTTCACTTGATTTTGCTTTTTTTTTTTTTTGAGTTGGAGTCTCATTCTGGCACCCAGGCTGGAGTGCGCTGACACTCTCACAACTACTGTAACGTCATCCTGCTGGGCTCAGGTGATCCTTCTGCCTCAGCCTTCCAAGTTGCTGGAACTGCAGGCATGCGCCACCACACTTAGTTAATTTTTTGATGTATTGTAGAGATAAGGTCTCGCCAAGTTGCCAGACTGGTCTCAAGCCCATGGGTTCAGGCAGTCCTCTCACCTTGGCCTCCCAGAGTGCTGGTATTATAGACGTGAGGCACTGCGCCTAGACTGATTTTGCTTATTTTTTAAGAACCTACAACAGTATAGGTCAAAAGATGCCAGAGAATTTGTCACTTTACCTTTGAGGGAACAATCAGCTTATCAGATAATCCTGGTTTTGTTGGATTAATGTGTTGTCATTATCACTTTGAAAACTTAATAGCAGCCGGACTTGGTGGCTCAGCCTGTAATCCCGCGCCTTGGGAGGCTGAGGTGAGTGGATTGCCCTAGCCCGCGGGTTCGAAATCCGCCTGGGCAACTTGGTGAGACCTCATCTCTACAATAAATTGAAAAAAAAATCAGCGAGGCGTGATAGCGCATGCCTGTAATTCTAGCCACTCGGAAGGCTGAGGCGGAAGGATCGCCGGAGCCCAGCAGGTTGAGGCTGCGGTGGCCGGGAGTGGCCACTGCACTCCAGTCTGAGCCACAGAGTGAGACTCCAACTCAAAAAAAAAAAAAAAGAAAGAAAGAAAGAAAACTTAATAGCTCATTGCCAGACAGTGAAAATCCTAAGGTAGAGAAAATATTAAAATAAGAGCCAGTTGGTACGGACATAAAAAGCTATAGAGTCACATGAGTCTGTTACTAGGGAAAGAAAATATAAGGTATATTTTCTTTGATAGTATGACTTTTTTTTGTGGTAGAGAATTGTGTTATATTTGGTTCCATTCTGTCTTATAGTCCCCAAAAGTCTTTCTGACTCGTAACTTAGGAAGTCACTGTCATTAGATAAGAATAGTGTGGTATCATAATTGAACTGAACATCTGATTGTCTAATTGAGCCAATGTCTCCTTAAGACATATCTAATAGACCATCCTGTTCCCTGCCCTGGCCATCTGTGTTCCTTACTCCTATATGATCAACATGTCATTCTTGACAAATCAGTTAGTATAATATACACTGAGCTTTGAAATTGCCCTCACATCTTTTTAGGGGAAATCTTGCCCAGTATTTCTGTACCTTATATTTCTGTGTTTTGAGCTGATTATGTTAGCTAAACATTGAACATTTATAAAGCTTTGAGTGTTTTTTTACCCAGAAGTATTTTATTTCTTAGATGAAAAATTGTATAATGATTTAGAATATTATTACGTTGGTTAAAAACAGCATCACAAATTTATAGTGTTATAAATGTGAAAATTAAACCAGTAAAATAGGAATATCTTTCTTTAAACTTTATATTTCCTTAAGTATAATTTCTGTTATGTCCTGAAAAAATGGAGTTACAGAGTATTGAATTCTGAGATAATCATAGAAGATCCTTATTGCAAGGAATTTGGACACCTTCAGTGCCTCTTTGGTCTGTTTTTTTCCTTAAATTAATATATTTCCTGTTCACATAACATACTGTATAACTTTTTTGAAAAAAATCTTGACTTCTGTATAAGATGTACTAATTAATTCACTCTGAAAACTTAATTTCAGATCAAGGATAACTGAGCTTCATTTAACTTTTTATTCTCTATTTGATTTCCTGGAAAAACTGGAGCTCTGTGTTTTTCTATTTGATTAACTGGAAAAACTGCTCTTTAAATCCTTTCATTCTTTCTTCAACCAGAAAAAAACCTACTTCAGACTTACAAAGTATGAACCAATAAAACATGTGTATGGAGTTCATAATAATGGTTCACAAAACTTGCTCATTTCAATGATGTTATCTGTACAGTGGTCCTGTGCAGTAACTATTTTTAGTAGCTCTGGTGTACTGATGAAGATGAAGACACTCAGGTGTGTTTTATGTTAGGGACTTGATCATGCTTTTAGTTGAGCCCCTCATGGCCTCTGTTACCCTGTGCAGCCTGTGTTAGGAAAAGAAGTCAGTGAAGACATCTGTTATTGCATCCCGACTTTCCTTTCAAGGGTTGTGCATTGAAAATTCATTTTCAACCTCACAGAGAGTAAAATCTATACTTTTCCATCCTGTCAAGACTCAAGATGTATTTCTTTTCAATATAATAGAGCTCACAAAATAATCCAATTTCCTATAGAACTTCTATCCGCAGAAACTGACCTAAGTTTAATTTTAACAGTTTCAAATGAAGTGCAAAGCGTCCTCTCCCACCCTCCTGTCTGCCTCACCCCAAATTCTATTTCACAAAAACCCTGGAGTATTCTAAGGAGGATTAAGGAAGATATGTTTTGTTTATGCATCGCTTTTAGGATATCTTTTAGTGCTTTTTTAGGGTTTGGAATTATGACTTTAAGTATTACACACTCAGAAAATTATTACAATTTTTTAATCTCTATTCTCGCTAAGAAATCTAAGCATGAATAAAGTACATGTATGTGGTATAGGTTTTTTTAAAAAAGTAATACAGAGCAAGTAATCGTTTGCTGATTATATATTTTAATGCCTTTTCCCCCGTACCTTCCTTCTCTTTTGTTATTTCTTTACCAAGCATACACAGAAGACTTGGATTTTATTTCTTCAAATGAAATTTTTTTGAATTTAACTCTTTGATCATCTTAGATAAAGAAAAAATAGCCGGGCTCGTGGCTCAGCCTGTAATCCCGCACCTTGGGAGGCTGAGGTAAGTGGATTGCCTGAGCCCATGGGTTCGAGACCTGCCTGGGAAACTTGGTGAGACCTCATCTCTTCAATAAATCAAAAAATTAGCTGGGTGTGGTAGCGCGCACCTGTAATTCCAGCTACTTGGAAGGCTGAGACGGCAGGATTGCCAGAGCCCCAGCAGGTCGAGGCTGCAGTGGCCGGGAGCGGCCACTGCACTCCAGTCTGGGCGACAGAGTGAGACTCCAACTCCAAAAAAAAAGAAAAAAGAAAAAATAGATGTGCTATGTACTCTGAAGATCTCTAGGAATGACCATGATTTTCATTGAAATTATTTTGTGTGGCCGGACACAGTGGCTCACACCTATAATTCCAGCACTTTGGGAGGCCAAGGTGAGAGGATTGCCTGACCCACAGGTTCAAGACCAGCCTGGGCAATATGGTGAGACCTTATCTCTATAATAAATCAAGAAAAATTAGTCGGGCACGGTGGAACATGCCTGTGGTTCCAGCTACTTGAGGACTGAGGCGGAAGGATCGCCTGAGCCCAGCAGATTGAGGCTGCAGTGGCTGTGAGCATGCCACTGCACCCCAGCCTGGGTGACAGAGTAAGACTACGACTCAAAAAAAAAAGAAAAAGAAAGAAATTATTTTGTGTATGTTATATTTAGAATTTTTGTTTTCTTTTAGGAATGAGAAAAATTAAAGAAAATGTTTTGACCAAATACAAAGAATAAGTTTACTGTCACTGGTGGGAATAACCTAGTTGAGATGATCCTATCTTGAAATTGTTATATCTGGAGACTGGTACCTAAACCCAGTTATTTTGATCTAATAATTGAAAAAACGAAGGAGATTCTGTAGGTTAGTGTTCCCAAGCCTGAACCCTTTTCTATAAGAGGAAATGGAAGGGTATCATAGAGCTGGAAAGGCAGATCATTCATCTGGCAGGTATCTGCTTTGTACGTGGGAAATGCAGTGCCTGATTATAAGAAAGATCTGGCC